TTCATTCGGAATTGGTGGATCACACACAGATTATTGTCATCATCAGCCTCAGCACATTCCTTAGACCAGTATCATCAGTAACCATGCCACTATTATTAATACCACTAACACTATCGTCATCAGCAGTCTCATTCATTACGTCAGTATCATCAGCAGCAACAGCATATTTATTCATTGACCACACCGACATCGTTATGAAACATCAACAGCCTTCTCCATCAGCAGCCTGTATTATTCACAAACTATTCACTTTTCTTACTCTTTGGTTTTTTCGGTAAAGTCACGCAGAAATAAGAAAGAATAAAATTACATAATAGCATGCTATATAGCATGTAATTTTATTCTTTCTTATTTCAACGTGACTTTACCAAAAAAAAAAATTCAAAGAGTAATTCCTGCAGTGACGAAAGCGCCAAATCAAGTTATTCACTTTTCCATTATTGTCTCTTGGTCACAGGACCGTGAAAGGCCCAGCCCTGGCGACAGAGTCGCCAATGGAGCCGAGCGTCGCCCCCGCTCTCGCGTGAGCGTAGGCACACTTTGACTACGATTACTTTGATATGAATTCACGACAAACGGGCTCTTCTATAGCCTGAACGGGATGTCTCGGCAAAATAGCGGACTGGTGAGAAGAGTAGCCGCACGCTTTGAAGGTCAATGTTCTGTTTTCATTCCAGAGACAAAGACTTCAGTAGCTGCATAACGGCGGTTAATAATGGCCAAGTCCCGAGTCTCTGGGTGTGTCGCACTTGGGGTGGCGCTCTTCGCCCTGAGCGGCCTTTTGAGCGAGAGACGAAAATTCCATATTCCTATGACAGGAGTCAGGGCAACCAGCACCGTTGGCCTCCCTTGTATGGGTAGACCTGTGCGGTACACCTGGCCCGCCGCAGCTGTGCAACACATCTGTACATCATCATTTCATTACACTGGATTATTAAATCACATTATTATCCTGGATTCATAATCTGCATTACTCATTTATTTAAGTAACCTCTAATATTTATGTACTCGATGACTAGTTGCATTATTTGAATTGCATCATTGGCAGATTACGCACTTTAATGTTCTGATAAATCTATTTTCCCCGGATGAATAAGGAACGCTAATTTTTATTTCCCCAAACCAAGTTTTTGCCCGGGTCACGGCCAGACACCGCGCGCAATTTTGGAAAGTTCCCACCGAGTGAATCACGGCGTGGATGTCTCCCCTACCGCTCCTCTGTTTCGTTCCGCGAAATCGCAAGGGGCTTTCCCGGAACGGCACGCTCATCATGACCCCCCTCCCCCCGTGCACGGCGGGGTTGGTTTGTGACTCGCAAGAAATTGCGTGGGACAATAAAAAAAATTCACGAATCCACGCGGTCTCACCTACCAGATATCCCCATTCACCACTTGATGTTAGCCGTGAACGGAAATCGAGCTCAGAGGGTGACAAAGTTTCAGAGCGCGCATGCGGAGACGCGTCACGCATTCTCGTAACGTTGGTTGTTGGTGGGGTTCCTAATTTAGTTTTGAGGGAGAGTGGTTAATTCTTTCAACCTTCAATCCAGAGGGGATGTGAGGGTAAGGGGCCGCTTTGGGGAGGGGGGGGCATGTTGACTATGCGGAAACCCGCGACCCACGAATATCTGACTCGACCCACGACTCTATAGACCCCACTCAAACCCGCAGCAATACCACCGTCTTGCCCGCCGTAATCAGACCCACAATATTATTTTTGAAACCAATAATTTACGTCTATGTTTGTTCTCACAGCGTTAAAGCGCTATCCTACGTTAAATCAAAAAAAGGTCTCTGCTCCTAAATACGAATTCCTTAAATGAAAGCGTTTAACCACACATGGAACACATTACTGCATAGTGGCTTTCATGTAATAATTCGTGTAAAAGTTGTATGTTTTTCAATGACAAACGAAGTGAAAATGTACCACCTGTCTCAGTTGGAAGTTCACATTTTAGCCATTTTAGCCAGACAGTAGCGAGATGTAATGTTGGAATTTTGGAAAGCTTCCAAAGCATGTGTGGCGTCTTTGAGACATTCGAAGGATGAAACCAGTTATCCACGGCACTCCTCGATACGCAGTCTAAACTGTACTTGAATCGGGGCTCATCGGCCCTGTCTGGCACTATTATGTAGATGTGTTCATGTTAGCAGGAAATTGATTCCAACAACATAGCGTGTCCTGCAACGCGTTTCAACAGACGCCTGCAATGTCTTATTCTAATGCCGACTTTGTAAGTCGGTAGTGCCCTAAAAGTGTCACCTACGCCCTTGCAAGCGTCAATGATGCTCGACTGTTTGTTAGACGCGAGCGTCCTCTTAATCTCCATTTTCACTATACAGTTTTGTGCAATGCTGAATTAAGCAGGTGTGTGCCCAGCAGTGTAGAGAGACACGGTACAGCTCTAAGGGTGCCATGGTGGCGAGATGTTAACTACCTGGCCTGGTAGACAGGAGGTCGTGGGTTCCCGACGCCTGTATATCTAAAGTGTGCATGTACTCTTCCCGTGGTCGTGTGGATTTCTCCGGGTCCTCAGGGTTTTCCCTCCACATTTATAAACATGCCTTTAGAGTATATGGCTGCTATAAATTTCCACGTGATAAACCATTGCGTTGGGTTAAAATTTGTGGCGAGGTCGCTACTGAAAAAGAGCTATGTAGCTCAGTGTGCCTTAGCTGGTGAAATAAAAAATAACAATAGTCAAATAGGAGTAAGTGCTGCTACAATATTAGCACCACGATTTGATACGTAGACATTGCTCCAACTCGAACTTCTTCGATGCGTGTATGTTAGCTGGTTCAATGTTCTCTGCATTGCACAGCGGTTTATGTAAATGCACCTTCTTACAAAGATAGCATCATCTCATAAATCATCAGCCCGCGTCGTCCAATAATAGCTCCGTTCACCTCACTCACTCCATTATCATTCGTGAATGATAATGGAGTGAGTGAGTTCCTCTGGCGTGCGTGTTGGTGTTTCGAGAAACCTACTTCGTAGGATCTGGAGAAGAAAAAGTCTATCAGGCGCTGTGCTAATCTTCACAAAACCTATCTGCAGAAAGTTATTCGAAAGATGTTAACATCCTTACCAACAAACTCTACTGCCAATGTTATTGTTGATTCTTCGTCATAAGTGCAGGGCATCTTTAACTCACATTATTGACGAGAGTGCTGCTCAGTTACTGTCGTTCCACGAGTTGAAAAAGAGGCACGCGTGTGTGCTACTGCAGAGATTGTTTGTGGCTATTGTACACAAAACACCGGATGGCAAGTTTCACAATCAACGAACCCAGCCACAGCAAAGATCATCGTTATCTTTCGCAATGACCCCAGATTTATAATCTCACACTTTAGATGTGTCTTTCAGCACCTGTCCTCCACACAATATGAACCTAGCTCTTATCCTTTGTTTGACCTCACTAGGAGGCATTTTAAATATATACACATGTATCTATGGGACCTTTTGGCTAGTATGAAAATGAGGAAACGTGACACTTTTCTTTGCTGATTGGCCGTGTCGGGTGGTGGAGGGTTACGACACATTTATAAATAACGCGATCTAACCCAAAAACCTTTATTATAAACTATGTTGTTTATAACAATATATTGGGAGGGGGACATTTTGAACATATTTGAATATTGTCCCCCCCCAATATATATTATATATTATAATAACGGCCTTGTTTAGAACTCTCACTCGAGCGCGTGTACCAAACGCCTTGCGCGAGCCGCACTGCGTCAGCCAACTTGTCAGCACGAATGTGGCCGGCAACCTGCGGCTCTTCGGCTGCCCCCTTGCGGGCAGCCGCTTGAAGGCAGCACAAAAAAAACAGAAATCTTAAAACAGAATTTAACGTAAAGATCATTGCTTAAATATGGTAGGGAATGGGTCACGATGGAATGTTTTGGGGACAACAAAATGTACGGTTAAACTGTATTGTTAAAGAATAACTAAGGGGGGGGACTAAATAGACAGTTTATTCCATCACCTATTTTGTTTATTTCACTCAGATTGTGTCGTCCGCTGTATACCCGCTGTTGTGTCTGTGTACAAACACTGCGTTTGATGCGGCTCTCCAACTATTTTTTTGGTCAAAGGCAAAATCAAAATAAATAAAGAAATTAAAAATACCTTCCTCTTTGAAAGGCCGCCGCCGACCCCTGGGTCTGGAAGTCCCGCATCGCATTTGCTCACAACGATGAACACGACAAACGACCCCGACCACCCACTCAGCAGGGGGTCACCCACGGAGAGCCGACCCCACCGTGAGACGTTCACGAAATGTGCGGGGCGACGTGCTTCGGGAGTTCACAATTCGGTGGGACCTGTGAGACGCTAAGTGACGGCGTTTGCCACCCGGGGAGACGATAGACGCCGACCCGCCTCGGGTTTTAGGGCGATCCGTGGTCAGTGTTGTGGGTGTCCAGTAGCGGGTGACGCCCCCAGTAGTCTGGGTGTTAGGGTACACGGTACAAGCTACGTGTGGGCCAAACAGCGCAACCGGTACGCACAATGTGAATATGCGAATAGGCACCGCTATAACGTTTATGTGTAAGATACTTTTATTTTTCAAGTGCACTCCGTAGCATAGAGGCATGTTGTTCACGTTATGTAAATACTCGCAACGCGCACGCCAATTTGGATGTGACCGTTCGTCGTTCCCTCCCTCCAGGAAGCCAGTCAGCAAAACTTTAAACTTAATAGCGATATAAAAAAAAACCTTTTACGATAAAACAACTTTTTAACACTGGCCGCCAGGGGGCGCGCACGCGACACTCGTGCAGAATTAAACAGTCCGATCAATTTACAGAAACCCCACTAAAATAATAGGGCAAAACGGATCGAAAACAGTACAGTATTACAAAACTTCTACATGTCAGCATACCTGTCAACCCATACGTCTACCCGTATTCTTGTACAGGGAAATTTAGTTTTCAGGTCCATTCGCCGTACAGCCGTTTCAATACGGCAATACATTTTTTTGTGCATTTGTTTGTGTTTATCCCTTGTGATGGGACTTTGTAGGATGAACGTTGAGATTTATAAGGGCACGGGGTGAGCAATAAGGTCTGAATTGGTCGGTAATAAGGTAGGCACTGATAAGGGGTTGACAGGTATGTGTCACCCATATACACGTATTAAAGCCATCACTTTTACACTATTTAATACCCTGCAGAAGATGGGGATTCAATACTGTGAAAGGGATGGCTCCATATCTCACACAGCAGTGTAAAAAATATATATCTAATGCTGTACGTGTAGTTTCACAAACCGCACTGACATGTTGGTAAAGCATTGCGAGTAGGGGGGCCTTCGTTCATCAGTGGACTGATAAAACGGCTGTACATTGTGTCATGATTATAACTTGACGAGTCAGATGTTCACTTTAAAAGATAATAACGACGTAAAATGCGGGAATTTTACTTGACCCACAGTGCACCGTCACACGGTGAGCACTGTGATGGGTATAACAGTCAGGTAAGAGTGCGCGTGATCACCAATTATAGTACTTAACGTGTATAAAAATACAATGCAAATAATATGCTAATGGACACATTAATGGCGGCGAAGAAACCACCGACATACATTATGCAGAAAGAAAAGGAAAACAATCCAAACGAGATGGGGCCAATGAACGAGGCATTCGAGGATGGCTCTCCACGCTGATTGGTGCGGTTGGTGATTAGCACGGTCGGCTAAGAGGAGATTATGTCCAAACACGTTCTCAATTTGAGCTCCTATCATGTCTTCGAGTTGAGGCTTACAAACAATGAAAACAGACCTCGTGAATATACAGTATATAAAGCCTATATGTAAATCCTACACATGCCTGTGTATTATCACAAGAAAGGCAACTGCCCTAACAGTCTAAAAGCCTAAACAAAAGATCTGTGTGTGTTGTACAATAATAATGCTCCGTTACACGTGCGTCTGCTATCACTGTCATGGCCGCCATGCTAGGGGCGCCATTTTAGTCTTGAAGCAGGCGCATCATAGTGGCCATGGAAAATAGCCCGAGGCCTTGCAGGAGGCAAGCCGACATGCCAGGTGCGCTGTTGCCATCTCCTTTGCCAGGCGCGCCATTGCCGCTTGCTTTGTTGGTAGTTGGACTCTTGCTAGGTTGACTATTGCCGCTCGCTTGGTTGTCAGATGCGCCGTTGCCGCTTGTCTTATTGCCAGGTTCGATGTTGCAGCGGTCCTTCTGGCAGCAGGTGACATTGACACCTTCTGGACATTCTTTTCTGCAGCCTCTGGACACGCGATCTAAAGGGAGCAAGCGGTGAACCCGTGTCAGTACTTCGTCACATTGATAATGACCTGCAATGTCAATGCCGATGACAAACGTGAACATACAGTAAAAAAAAGAGCCACATGAGGCAATGAACAGAAGGGGTGCTTTTTAGTGAGTGGAACAACTAGTCAGTCAAACACTGGCCCGAACAGTAATGCCATTCGCCAAACACTTGTCCTACATCTAACCCTCGCCCTAATAACATTGTCCAATCAAACCATAGAACTCTGCTTTTAACTCCATCTCTGGCATGTCATTTTCACCTTTTGCTCACCTTTCAGTGTCAGAGCAAGTTTGTTTGCATGTTCACCGCAAGTACTGTGTGTGCTTAATGCGAACTTGATTCCTTGCAAAAGGTTTATATTTGGTGTTTGGACGTCTTAACGCCTCCTGTTGTATTGCCAGAAAGGGTAAAAGCTACTCTTATATTTTACATACTCTATCCTTCCATACAGTGCCTATCAAACATTGACACGCACACATACGGACTGAAACGGTCAGGGAACAAAAACGTACCCCCGTCGACTTGGCTCGAATAGCAATAATGGCCACCTTTGCTGCACAATTTTGTCGTCATTTTAGTGCAGGCGAGGTCGGTGCAATTGAAGCACTCGAGCAAAGTGGAGCGCTTGTTGCATTCTTCTCTGCTGCAGCAGAAGACTCCCTCGGGGCAGAACGTTTCACAGCCTTTGGAGATTGCTACACCTGCAGAGCAGCGAGGGGAAACAGCCTGAATTATGAGGAGCAATTCAGTTCAGAACTCATCATTTTTCGGCTCTCGACTGATGATGCTAGTTGTAGTTACTGGTGAAACGTCGTACTCAAATTGTAAATGTTGTGGATTTAATCTCCCAACGCACGGGTGTGCAGTACTAGTAGCGAATTGGCGTGTTCTGTTTACGTGACAAACCTTACGAATTGGTTTGTGTTGGGTGGTGGCGGGTTTAACGACACATTTATATATTTACGCGATCTAACCCACAAAAAAAACCTATATTATGGATAATATTGGTTGCAAAAGCCTACTTGTTAACAGGTCAGATTTTTTTGTTGTTTTCTCTTAAATTTATAGCAATTGGCTTCCGATATCATGTCAAATATACAATTGACCGACGTGGAACTGTTCTCGCAGAGCAGTGCAATCGCCGGTGCTAGACAACAGCTCATGGAAGCGGATGTCACAAAACTACTCTTAAATTCCGTTCAAGTGACCCGTGGTCCGCACAGTATGGAGAAAGTGATATGCTGACGGTGTGAACAAAACTGTACAAAGGAGACATGACATTAAAAAAGATAAACAATACAATCAAAATTATAACAAAAATATTGGACCAAAAACGATTTATTTTTTAATCTGTGGCCAAAAATCTTAATTAATATAATATTAATAGCAACACCCCCCCACACACACATCCCATACAATAGTTAGTCTATTGGGGAATCTACAGGTCTGGAACAAAGTCAAAGACCCCCCCCCCCCCCCCCCATATAGCCTTAACAGACTCTTGGAGCAAGTGCTACAAAGGCCAAAACGGTACATGACGGAGTGGGTCGCCACCCAAACGCCCAGCCACCTTTGTCTCCCTTCATGATCGCACTTGTACTGTGTATGGCTATATATGTGTGTATGAGCATCAAAGATCCCCCGTATATCTTTAACAGACGTTTGGGGCAAATGCTGTTAGCGAGCACCTATGAAGGCCGGCACGGCACATGAGGGGGTGGGTGGCGAGCACCACGCCTGGCCGCCTTTGTCTCAATCATGGTGATGTTTACACACCACACCAGGTACTCATTTGAGACTGAGTCGACCTACGGGAGGCCCAGTTAAAAAAATCATCATTGGTGTTGGCCATGAGCAGAATTAAAACTTGTAGTGTAGCTGACCGCTAAACTATCACTCCCCACACTCGCATACATACAGACACACATATGTGTGTACCCAAGGGCTGAATAAGAGATGCATAACTATGGAGCAGAAAGAACGTGAAAACCTGAGTCGACTTGTCAGTGGCTGTGGATCGATCTCTGGAGGAGATTCATAACAGCTGCTACCGGGCAGTTTGACACAACCGTCCTTCTGCAACAATGATACATGGAGTAGAGATGCTCACAGTAATAGGCAGAGCACTGGGTCGCAAACGCACACCAAGGCGGAACAGTGACGACTGCAGGTGGTGCATCGGCCTTTCAAAGTCAGTCTGTTCTCCTATCAGGCGTGTTTTCACAACGCTAATCGGATATAACTTGATTAATGTATTTGGGAACACTTTTATAATGCGCATGCGAATTAAATGTAACGCGATTGAGTGAAAAGAACTACGTCGCATGAGTAGGAATAAGCGTATTCTTTGGGTCTTTTGGTAAAGTCGTGTCGATAAGTTCAAAGAAAATAACAAAAAACTACAAATAACAAAAAACGACAGTAGTTTTTTTTGTTATTTTCTTTGAACCTATCTACGTGACTTTACCGAAAGAGCCAAAGAATATGAATTCCTACAGTCACGAAAGTTTTAAGTCAAGATTTAGGAATAAGCGGTCGTACGGCTGCATCGGCGTAGCTTCACACAAGGCGGGATGCTGCTGGATGCTCCTAGATGCTACTCTGGCGCCTCAGTCTTTGTTGGGCCTGCACACGGCATCTCTCATGTTATCGTGGACTGTGCTTTTCCCACTATATTATTTATTATTTGTTATAACGCGATTTTTCCATAACGTGGTGTTTTTCAGCAATGCAACTATCGCGTGATAGAAGAAGAAGACACTGTGCAGGGATTGGGCAGATTCAGCCATGGCGCAGTGCACCACACACAAGCCGCCTAAACCACCGCAACCCCTCACCAACCCCTCACTGTGTTTGACACTTACCACAGCTGGGTCTGTCCGATTGCCTCCTATCAACGAACTTCATTTGGCCCAAAATTGCTCATAGAATGCCACAAGTGCCTTGATTACATTACTATCACCAAGCTGATCTCGTTGGCAGTGATGATCTGGTGATCGTGTGGTGGTAATAGCAGTAGTGATGATGATGCTGCAGCTAGTGGTGATGTTGTTGGTGGTGGTAGTCATGGCATTATCAAAGGCAGTGAGACAAGGGTGGCTAGGCATGCTGGCGCCAACACTTTTTGTGGCCCATGAGGAGGTCAGCCAGGAAGAGGGACCCCGAGCTCGCTACGCTACTCACTGGTTCCGTTGAAATCCGTGATGCAGTGGATGGCCTTGTCAGCTGGACACTCCATTGGTTTCGAATTCTTGCATTGATCGACGCCATTACACTCATGACATTTCAAAGCATGGCCTGAGAACAGACAGTACAGAAGCGATGCCATTTTACACAGCGTCTACTTGTAACGACATCTCAAGACATTTCACCGCAGTGGAGTGACCCTCGTTGTGTAAACATCGTGTATGGCGCGAGACACAGGGGAGGTTCTTGTGCAGTAGGAACGGTCATTAAGACATTGAGTTAGGAGGCAGTCAGACATAGAGAACAAGAGGGAGGTCTTAAGCCTGGGCTTGAACAGAAAGACAGAATGAGCAGTGAAGAAGACCAGGAGGCAAGAGTTGCAGACAGTAAGGCCAGCACAAGAGAGGCAGCGACCACCCATCGAGTGGAGATCTCCTGGGGAATTCGATAAAAAGCAAAACCTTTTGGTTTCTGAAGCGAAGAGCGCATGAAGCGAGATGAGAAGGGAGAGGTAGGTAGGGGTGAGTCCGTGGAGAATCTTGAAGATGGTGTGATCTTAAAATTGATTTGAGATGGCATTGGGAGCTAGCAGAGGGATTATATTGTTAGGATGATGTGGTGTTGTGTATGAATTAGTGGTAGGAATTCTACATTGCCATGGCAGAGACGAGTCTCTCTGCCAGACGGCTACAGTACACTCTAACCCCAGGGGTCGGCAATTTTTGTTCGAATTCGGTAAACAAAAAAAACCCTCTCTATTTCAAGCGCCGCAATGGAAGTGGTAAACATGAGAAGGTGGTCCTTAGCCGCATGCGGCTCCGGAGACGCAGGTTGTTGATCCCTGCCCTACACTATTCTAATTGATATATTTGGGGTGTAACACCCCCCACCCTCAACATGTAATCGTCGCAATACCGATTCAGGAATCGTATTCTGAGATTGTGGTGGGTATTTTGACCTCTAGTGGCTGCAGGGGTCACGTGTATTCATAACAGACGTATACAATACGTAATATTAAAAAAATAAATTTAAACACGCTTTTATTAAATGTACTAGTAATGGCAGAACTCCACGAGTCCATGAAGTGGCCCCGAAGCTTGCCACAACGTAAGGGGACCGTGACAAATTACAGCCGTCATTTTACCGTGGACAGTTAGACCCAAACCGAAACATGACATATAAAAAATAACGTTTAAAAATATGTATTTTTAATGATAGAATATAGTATTGTCATCAGTATGACATAAGTATACCAAGTTTGCAGTCGATACCACATTGGGAAGTGGGTTAAAATTGAGTTACAAGATTTGAGGATACAATGACAACGACAACAGACAGAGCGAGTTAAAATGAAAGCGTGTAATAATACACATTGATTCGTCCATGTGGTTGCATCGAGAGCGGAATATTTCCTATTAATCGATAATAAAAATCGTTGCACCACCCCCGGGATGTAGACTCCACGTGTATTTGTACTCCCAACGGCGTGCTCTCGTCATCCAGCAGTGGATTGACGCGAGGGCTGTGCACGTGCGTGGACTGCACACACGGGCGGAGTCGCGGTCGGCTTCTCATCGTGGAGACCACTGGTAAAAGTTCCACAAAGTGGTACTTATTTTCTCGACCCCCCATCTACACGCGTTTTATCAGAAGTAACATGAACATGTGTATATATTTTTACAGCCATATATAAAGTCACTACTGGATGAAGGTATCCCTACGTTGTGTTCATCGTTCGGCGGATGGTTTAGCATACTTCACCACGCTGGTCATTGCCGTTTCGTGAAGTGTTTTTGAAGGACAACCAGAAATCGTTCAGATATCACTCACCACAAACGTTGCCACTTGTCCTTATTTAACTTGGACAGATTTCGGCACAAGCCAATTCCAGCTGTCTTGGTTTTGCAAGCGGCCGTCTGTGTTCGAGTTGCAGGAATTGATTTCTACCGACACATGGTGGAATCGTGTTGAACCTTTTGCACAATATAACTGCACAAATTGGATCGAGCTCAGCTGACTGATAAATGTGGCCGGATTTGGTCTGTGGAATAAAACTCGGCGTGTGATGTTCATAGGCCAGTGTGCTAAGCAGAACACCACCGCTCCTCCCAATCCTGTACTAGATTTTGTACAGGGTATTAACAAGCCCCGCCATCAGCTTATTACGTAAGAGGTAACGCATTCTTTAACAGCGCGACACCACGAGTGATCTTGGGTGACACTTAAAGGAGCATTGGGCAAGTGTTGGAAATTCCACATTGCGCTTACTATACTCCCAAAATGTCCTAACGTTGCATAGCAGGTGTTATAGGTTGCCACGTTGCGTCATTTTCTTAAGAGGGCAGTCCAACAAATATTGTTGTACCGGTCTCTGCTCAAATGTCTACGCTCCCCGCCTTCACCAATCACCCAGCTCGGTGAAGCGCGGTCAAATAAACCCCCAAGACTCTAATTGGTCAGGGAGGCCGTTATCCTGCAGCGGATTGACGAAGTCCTCAATTGACCACTCACCTGGGGTGAGCAAGAGGGCGAACAGGCAGGTGAGGAGAATGAGCAGGCGAGGAGTGACCTCCATCACGGCGACCTGGAGAGACGATTATGAGGAGTACGGAAGAGACGTGGGGAGTGTCGGCCCACCAAAGAGGAGATGGAGCGAGTGGAGAATGGAGTGCGGAGCCTCACTGTCTATATATAGGAAGGAAAACCTGGCTGCGGTGGGAGTGCATTGAAATGCGCTCCTGTTAATCACCAATTCGGCCACAAGAGCAATGTGCGCTCAGAGATTAGCTGATTATGCCGTGTAGGTTTATTATTTGTGTGTGTTTTGCGAGATCGTTTTGCGAGATAACTCCGTAGCAACATCACCACAGCAATCATTGCCATTCGGCACAGCAGCAGTGGCTACCATCGTCATTCTCATCGTCGATAGTCATTGCGATATCAGTGTAGGAAGATGATGATTTCACCGCCTTAACACAAACACTCATCCCCAGACTCATGGGCCTTGTTGTTTCGTACAAAACTCAACACATTCATCAATTGTTTGGTAGTTGGAAGGGACCAGGTCCTTCAGAGGATGAGGCCAAAGGATACTTACATGAATCAGCCCCATCACTGGCTGAGGGCGTAGTGTTGAGATACAGAAGGTGTCAATGTGGCTCTTGTGGGCACGTTTTGAAGATTGCGGGAGGTTGATACCTAAGCGGTTCGAGTGGTTGCAGCCAAGATTTAGAAAAATCCTGGTTGTCTGGTATGTAGAGTCTTGAGTCAAGCAGCATTGCTGATTTTCTAGGTATCTGATTTTGGTTGATTTGACGTTATTGTTTCATAACCCTGGCTCGTTTGACATGAGTGTTTCTTCCGGCGGTGGGAACTACGTGTGTCGGTTTGCATAAATTTATTTTGAAAACGGCATATTTTATTTATTTATATATATAAAAATAACGTTTGCGTCACGCGCAACGATGGCAGTTTGCCAGGACTAGTCCATCTATTTTTTGAAAAGAGGAGGGGGGAGACGAAATTTGTTTTTATGTATGCTGTCTGAAAGGCACTGTAAGCGTGAACAATCAATCAAGAACTGAAATGATTTATCAAATCTTTCCAATGATTGCTAAGATAGAATCCATCTTCTCGGTTGAAATTGTCTCTGTGTTTGTATATGTGGATAGCCTCATGAACGAATCTCTCATGGAGCCAGATGGCTTACAAAGAACCTCCGTCTTGGAAAAGTCAATGGCATGTTCACGCTTACAGTGCCTTTCAGACAGCATACATAAAAACAAATTTCGTCTCCCCCCTCCTCTTTTAAAAAAATAGATGGACTAGTCCTGGCAAACTGCCATCGTTGCGCGTGACGCAAACGTTATTTTTTTTGGTGTGTTTGTAGGAGTGATGCACCCAGCCCAACCCGGCTCATGGCACTTAATACATCTCCATTGGTGGGCGATACTTGCTCCAGTCTATTTGCTCAACCTGTGGTGGACATTCTCTCAGGCGTGTTACCCTCCTCCACGTCACGTTGCTATTTATGGAGGACGGCTTGCTTCCAACTGCCCAGTAGCGTCTTTCATTAACTACTCCTTCACAGATGTCAACTGGATACCACTGATACCAGTCATCGGTGAGTCGACTTACGTCAGATTCTCCTGCACTCAACAGAAGCTGCTTTTCCATGTGGCATATGGGCTACAAAAACCCAGCCAATAAATCCTCGCCGACTGGAGGACCTCACTGATGGGAAGGTGTCCAGAGTTTTCAAGGATGTTTGGGCTTCTCACACAATCCCGGATGGATTGTAGGTAGGCCAGCCTGAATGTTTCAAGGCAGCGAGTTCTAATATTAGGCATCTGCATTTCACACACAAAGAGAAGACAGCAAGATCGTGACTGAGATGTCACGAAGGGTCACGTGGAGTGATAGGCTAGGACATCTTTCACAGCATTATAGGAGCCAATTAACAGGTACTTTCACTCGACTGATTTAGATTCAGAATCTTTGTTCAGACTCGCGGAGTTCGATGTGCTATGGATACAAAAGACGAGAAAGAGCTAAATAGTTGCTATAAATAAATATAAATAAAGTATAGAAGGACATATTGCACAACTACATCACTTCCTGCCGATTTGGCAACACCAAATGTAAGCTTGGGCAAGGCAGCAAAACAACAGTCCCAGACCACACCAATACAACAGTCCCTCAATTACATTGCACATTAAAATTGAACTATTGATACACGGGTAAGGTTCAAAGTTAAGACCTCTGCCATGAACATACTCCACAGATAAATTCCTCCCACCTCTATAATCTTCACATTCATTGTGGAGAGGGGAATGATTGGAGAGTTAAAAAAACACAATACCCCAGGCAGGTGTTATTACGTTTGGGTGTGGCCAGTGCCGGATTAAGATAGTGCGGGGCCTGTAGCATATGTTGTGAAGAGGCCCTAAAATAAAACAAATATTATAACAAAATTTTAACTTGCATAATAAAGAAATTGTATATTTTTTCATTTGATATACAGCCAGATAATACAACAAATCGCTAACCTTAAACACCCAGTCAATAAAAGTTGAAGGCAGTATAGTACTATAGTAATAGAACAAGTGCAGAATCACTGAAACGGAATTGATAGCTGGAAAGCATTTAGCGCGGGGCCCTTGAAAGTGCGGGTCCCGTAGCTACATCTGTAGCTGCTTTTGCTGATAGGATAATTCGGCACTGGGTCTGGCAGATGATAAGGCGTTATAATAATCTAGCCAGCGGCTTGAAGGCCTCCCCACACGGCGTTAGTCATGGTGGCTTTTTGGTTTAACCATATAGTACTTGCTGATCAATGTGGGTTGGTGAATGGGGGGGGGTGATTGTGACTTGACTTGTATAATACCGTAAAATACCGTAAAATGTAATTACAGCATAGTATTACTATAGGAGCACGTAGTTAAGTATACTGTAAAGAGTTTGAGTTTGTTTGATTTGTGAGCACGGATGGTTCCGTTTAGGCAGTTTAACGACTATTTTACAACGCAGACCCGTGGTGCATGAGCACCGCAGCAAACACAAAAAACATCAATATCGCAGACAATACAGACTGTCCTTAAGGAATATTGCACAACTAACAAATGACATGAAGATGACGAAGGGCAAGTCTGCTCATAGCTAGGGCTATGAGTTTATTCCAGTAAATGTGTAACATTCACGGGCAAGGTGTAGGTACGAAATTATCATTCACGGAAAAGTTACGGAGCAAGATAAGTTACGGGGTGTGGTCGCCTAATCTAAACGTTTTTGCCACAGCCATTTCCTATATCATGAATTCAGAATTTACGTAATCGCCATGGCAACAACATTGTAGCCCTGTACACATTGCGAGCACTTATTTGTTTAAAATATTAGTTACACTCTATTCATTTACATCAATGGGACGCCATTACTTAGCCATTTTTTCCTCTCAACCATTAACATTCCACTGCTTGGCAAAGGTTAACAGAGATATTGAGCTATCATCGAAAAACATATTAAACCCAAAAACACAAAAGAACTAGCTGATTTTCGTATTTTTATTACGGACAAATTTGTTTCAGATTATTTTCTTTTAAACAAAATAATTATGATTTTCTCATGAGTTTTATTCAGGAGGCCTTGCTAAGTTTTGACAGGAGGCGCCTACTCTTGCGAATGATGTCACGGGATATATAACTTTCACTGAAGCAGACCACGCATATTGTGTTGGTGAATATTGAATGCTCTCCCCATGGTCGCGTGGATTTTTCTCCGGGCATGTTAAGAGTATTTGGCCGCTATAAATTTCCACGTGATAAGCCACTTCATCATTTGTGGCCAGGTCACTTTTTAAAAATATCTATCTCGCTCAGTGGGCCTTACCTGGTAAAATTAAATAATTCAGTAAATAGAATACACCCGCAGTAATCAGCAGGGCGGCCGCTGAAATCGAGCCGTGAACCTCTGCAACAAACAGCCAATCGCGTTAATGCTTGGCCATGTCACCCCCGATTTAATGATTGATCAGACAAAGTGCTTCCACAGGAAACTATAATTTCCACGGCATCACTTCAGTCCTTTTCTTGCCAAAAAATCCTTTCCCGTTATGTAATTTTGTTGATACGTAACATTACTTTCAATACTATTAGAGGATTAAAATATCAAAATATAAATGATTGTTTTGCTAATGGAATTTCACGTAAAATACGTGTTCAATTACTATTAGTTAAATGATTCAAATGATAAAATGTAGTACGTAAACAGTGACAACTTCTAAAATGTAAGTAATTTTAATCTGAAAACACATTAAAAAAGATATATCATTTCTACTTTAGTAACATTCTTTACATAAAAAACTCAACACATTCGTCAATAACACTGTGTGATCTTTAAAGCGACGTTATGTAATAGGAAACGCTTCGAGCAATGCCCATTCTTCATAGCACGTACAAGTTGTATGTGCCCTGGCAATTCTTCATAGCACATTTTTTTTAAGGTCAGTGTCATTGATGTTTTTTTGTTTCTTTTACAGCACCGCCAATGCATCAGCACCAAATAATGCATTTACTTTAAAGACAATCGGCTGGAGCAAGTTTCGTACGTAACTGTACCATGGTTGTCTTTTTGCAAGTTAGAAAATGTAAAGTTCACAGACCTATCGTGAATTCATCGACCACAAACCAAGCTGGTCCCAAAGCGGCAGTCAAGTTCCAGTAGATCATATTTACGTTTATCCCATAAAAGTATCGTGGAATCTCAGCACACCTTTCTAGGAGGGCCTTGAAATTCGCATACGTTTGGGCAAATTTCATCATGATTTTAGCTGTTTTCTGCGTGAAGAATGGAGTACGTACCTTGATAATTACATGTCGGGCCAAAACTTTCTTTTATTTGATTTCAAACTACGTGACTTTACCGAAATAACCAAAGAGTATGGATTCCTGCAGCCACGAAAGCTTCAAATCAAGATTAAAACTCAACAACTTAAGGGCAGAAGCAGCCTGCTTAGCGGTTTGCATCAAGTACAACGACTGGGGGCAAAGACGAAATCCGACTTTGTATTCCCGTGTCTGTCTGTCTTTGCGTCTCATGTTGTGTTTCTCGGTGTCACTTTCTCTCTCTCTCGTGACCCGGAGTCTCCGTCTCGCTGTTGTCGCTCCGTGTCCTTCCACGGGTCTCCTCTGTCCGTGGCTCGCGGGATCCTTCCCCATCAACATGTCTGTGTGTCCCTCCTTGTCCCTTTGTACAATATGTGTTTATATATGTACTGTACTTCTCTGCGTTGCTTTAGATCCGTGGCTGTCATTCTCGTTGTCTGTTTGTCTCTGTCTCTCCGTATCTCCTCGTCGGATCTGTCTCAGAGGCCGTGTCTGTTACTCGCTATACAACTTTCTGTATCTCTGCGTGTCTCTGTGTCTATCGCTTTACGTCTGTCTCACGTCTTTACCCTCGGGAAAGCGTCTCGTTCTGTCTGTCCCTCTTTGTGTGAAAGTTTTTTTTTCCCACATCCCTCAACATTAACGTCCCAGGCACACCAACTCCTACTTGTTACACTGCAATTCATAACTTCGCTTTGGCGACGCCCCCCGCCCCACCGGCCCCGCCCCACCGGCCACCCCCCCGGCCCCTCCCCACTCCCCCCGGCCCCTCCCCCCCCCGGCCCCTCCCCACTACCACCCCCCTCCAGCCCCTCCCCCCGGCCCCTCCCCCCCGGCCCCTCCCCACTACACCCTCCCTCCAGACCCCCCCCCCCCCGGCCCCTCCCACTATCCCCCCGGCCCCTCCCCACCATCCCCCCGGCCCCTCCCCACCATTCCCCCGGCCCCTCCCCACCATCCGCCCGGCCCCTCCCCACTCCCCCCGGCCCCTCCCCACTATCCCCTCGGCCCCTCCCCACCATCCCCCCGGCCCCTCCCCACCATCCGCCCGGCCCCTCCCCACTCCCCCCGGCCCCTCCCCACCATCCCCCCGGCCCCTCCCCACCATCCCCCCGGCCCCTCCCCACCAATGGTGATGTCGAAAAGTGTTTTGGTTTGGCCATGTTTGTTTGTTGTAGTACGGAGTTAGACTGATGGCTTTAATCTAAGTTGTCTTGTGGTGGTTGTTGTTGTTTCACTTGCATCCCACTGGGATTTTTGCACACAGCGTTGGTGTACGGTGCTTTTTCAGGAATATTTTGCTGTTTTTTCCTGGATTTTCTGTTTGCACAGTCACATAGTCACTTTAATATGTTTTCATGTTTTTTGTTTGTTGTGGTTGCACCCGATTCAAGAGCCGAATGTCTCACAGGGCTATACCAATTAAATGCAACTGAAAACTGAAGCCCCGGTCCCCACCGTCAAGCCACGCCCCCAACCACCACCAAGCCCCGCCCCTCATTAACCCATACGCGGCCCTCCCCGCTGTTAACCCGCGGCGCGTGCTCGTATGATCGGTGACGTCACGCTCGCGAGAGCGCCGCGATTGGCCCTCCTCCACCCCACGCGTCACGGCGCCCACGTCACCTGCGGCCACCTTGCTAAGGGGTTGGTGATCGACGAGGCAGCAGCAGCAGCAGCGGCAACAACAACAAACATTAAGCCGTAAACAGACTGGTGGGGAGGCACGTGCTGTAAGCGAGTAGCAATCACCTATGAAGGCCGGCACTGTGGCACACGAGGTTGGGGGGGGGGGGGCAACACCACGCCCGGCCGCCTTTGTCTTACCCTAGTGTTTATGTGTTGCACACCGTACCAGGTACTCATTTGAGGCTGAGTCGATCTCGGGGAGGACCAGGACCGGTTCAGATAATGGTCACCGGTGGTTTCTGGCCGTGAGCGGGAATCGCCGGGTTCGTAGCGCAGCGTAGCGCTAACTGCGACACTCAACGCTCCCCGCAGCAGCAGCAACAACAGCCGTCACTCGCCACTCAGTGGCGGTGACATCACCAACGCTGCTTGTGTGCCAGGCCACGTGCACTTCGAGGCTACCACGTCAAGTGTCGAGAAGGCTCGCTGCTGGCAGGAAGGTCACGGGACAGGCCCAGGTGCCGTGTGTTGATTGATATGACTGGCAGATGCACCACCTATGCCCACTACCGTGCTAAAGCAAAAGCCCCATTCGTCAGCAACATCGCCTTATCGCATGAAAACAATATACTGTATGTCTTCTTTGGTTCTTTCGGTAAAGTCACGTAGAATGAGAATAAAATAATAAATTGATAAAATAAAATAATAATATTCTCACGAATATTATGTGTGTTTGAGCGAAGTGTTTGAGCGAAGAAGCATAATTGCCCGACACGTCGCCTATTATATATTTTAAGACAGTGTTACCTATGGGACCTTTTTTCCAGGATCAAAATCATGAAAAAAAGAATGGACTATTTAAAGATAATGCATATATTATCGGAGCATAATTGTTTGCATGCTTTTCCACAAAGCATGTGTGAGTTACGTAGACGTAATGCCTTGCAATAGGTGTATTTTTGGTGTTTGAACATCTTAACACCACTATTATTGCCAGAAAGGGTAACGACTAATTTTTTTCATCATTAAGGCAGTGTTGTTGAAGTTTTTGTTAATTGTGCTTGGGCACCGATGCCAACTTAGCAACATCAAATGATTTGTTTATGAAAGGACACCGCTCTTCACCACTGCAGGCTTGTGTGTATTGAGAAAATACAATCACCACCACAGACATGCATGGCTTGGATGGCCTTCATCAAGCAGTTGGATTGACACTGGGTTAAATTATAAACGTATAAATATATAATTTCGTAGAAAAATCAGCAAATTCGTCAATGGCACTACGTTAACACACGAGCTATGAAGAATTGAGGGCTATTAAACTGAAACGTCGTCTGCGAATGTTTATATATTTTATATTTTGGCTTGTGCACCACTGCCAACACAGTATCCCCAAACAATAGTTTAATCACGAAGCATTCGGTAAGCTCTTGCAAGAAGGTATTAGGAGACCCATACCAAGTTGGCCACCTTTTTAACATATCTGTTGCTCCATTAAAAAAATGAAGCATTTTTACATATCTTGTCAGCCACACTGAATTCCTTCTGGGTGTGCATACTTTAAAATAGTACTATACTTCAGAAATTTAAATGACCACTCGACGAATTGACTTTGCTCGGCAATATGAATGTGGAATTTCCAGCACTGAGCAGGGGCTGCCACGAGCGATAAGCGTTGCTATACAACACTCCTTTGAGCAAAGCAGACGTCAACTTTTTATCTTAGTTTCATGATAGCGATTAAAGCATCATCATCAGCTATGGTCAATCCACTGCTGGGCGAAGGCCTCCCCTTCACTGCAATTTCTACCGTTCCTGCGGATGTAATAAACTTACTTTATTAACGCTAAATTACCAAAAAAGTTCTATTTTTTTCGTGAATGCGTCAGATTATTTTTCACGTCCCGTCATTTCAAATTTTGTTATAATATATTTAACAACGTGGCAATTGAAAATCAATTACGGTGAATCTATTTGTGTTTGGCAGGAATGTGTTCAGGAGCTAAATGCCAAATGTCGAGGTCTCCTAGCCACGACGAGAGGGCTTCAGGGTAGTTTTGGTATTCCTCCATTGAAGGGGCCCAGACTACAGGGGTTTACTATATGGTCCAAAGTTTTGGTTGCATAACGACAATCGCACGACCGTGCCTTGTCTTTATGTATCTCTATGTGTATCTATGATTCAATATATGGTACATACTCTTTGGTTCTTTCGGTAAAGTCACGTAGGTAGAAACAATAACAGATCACGACGTTTCGATCGCAACACAAGCAGTTTAGTTTTTTTCAGTTTATTTATTTTGGTATAGCCCTGTGAGCCATTTGGCTCTTGAATCGGATGCAACCACAACAAACAAACAACAAAAACACGAACAAGAAAAAACATCTTAAAGTGACTATGTGACTGTGCAAACAGAAAATCCATGAAAAAAAACAGCAAAATATTCCTGAAAAAAGCACCGTACACCAACGCTGTGTGTAAAAAATCCCAGTGGGATGCAAGTCAAACAACAACAACCACAAGAAAACTTAGATTAAGGCCATAAGTCTAACTCCGTACTACAACAAAACAAACATGTCCATGATAACAAAATAACCGTGTTGCGATGGAAACGTCGTGATATATTATTTTTTCTACCTACGTGACTTTACCGAAAGAACCAAAGAGTATGGATTCCTGCATTCACGAATGCTTCAAATCAATATGGTACATAGTTTGGATTTGCATGGCCACAAACGACCTGTGGCTTTTATTTCACTTATCTCTCAGAGTCAATATGGGTTTACTACATGGTCCATACTTTTGGTTGGCATGACCAGCCATCCCACTACTGTGGCTTGTCTTTAATTAATGTATGTGTTTCTATGGGTTCACTATATGGTCCACAGTTTGGGTTTGCAAGGCTACAGTCGCACTTATGTGGCTTTTCGTTAACTTATCTCTCAGGGTCTCTATGTGTCTATGGGTTCACTACATTGTCAACAATTTTGGGTTGGCATGGCCACAATCGCACGGCTGTGTCTTGTCTTAAAATTCCCACGAATGAAGGAGGATGTTGCACGTCGGCCGAGTTGACCTTGTAACATTTTCGGCACGAGCTGCCGTTTAATGTACCACGAAAAACGCGCGAACGGGGTGGTTGTAGTCAGGGTGTCTCCCACCACCCCACATCGCGACGGCAACAACAACGTTGGGAGCAACAACAACAACGTTGGGTACAACAACAACAACAACCGTTGGGAGCAACAACAACAACCGTTGGGAGCAACAACAACCGTTGTGAGCAACAACAACCGTTGGGAGCAACAACAACCGTTGGGAGCAGCAACAACCGTTGTGAACAACAACCGTTGTGAACAACAACAACCGTTGTGAACAACAACAACCGTTGTGAACAACAACAACCGTTGTGAACAACAACAACAGTTGGGAGCAACAACAACAGTTGGGAGCAACAACAACCGTTGGGAACAACAACAACCGTTGTGAACAACAACAACCGTTGTGAACAACAACAACCGTTGTGAGCAACAACAACTTCCACTCCAGAGGCGTCCTCCCTCTCTTCTTCGCCCTTACCCAACATGGACGGTGGAGGCGGCTTCACCGACGTCACCGCCGCCTTTCGGGCTGCGCCCCCCCCTCTCATCGTCGGGGTTACAATGAGGCATCGGCCAAACCCACACGGCGATCACGCTGACTGCTGAGACTGCTGCTGCTGCTGTAGTCAGTCAGCAGCCGGCCACGGTGTGAGACCCGAGTCGTCGTTCGCCGCCGCCCGACACAGCACGGACAAGAGAGAGAGAGGTGAGTTGTGGCCAAGACTTCATACACAGGGGCGATAGAGAAGGAACTAAACGGGCGGTGTGAATGCAACAAGTGGCCCGGGCTCTCTCTCTCTCTCTGTGTCCGTGTGTTGTGTGTGTCCGTGTGTTGTGTGTGTGTCCGTGTGTTGTGTGGTGCATCAGCCCGTCATCTCAGTCATCTCAGTCAGTCGCCCCGTGGCACCTGCTGGGTCTGCCCCGTGACCTCCTGCCAGCGGGCGTTCGACACTTCACGTGGCCTCAAGCTGCACATGGCCTGGCACAAGCGTCGTGGTGACGTCACCGCCAATTAGTTGTGAATGGTGGTTGTTGTGTGTCTGTGTGTTGCGTGTGTCCGTGTGTTGCGTGTGTCCGTGTGTTGTGTGTGTCCGTGTGGTTTGTTAGGCCGGCCAAGCCGCAGTAAACTTTGAGACGGTGGTTCTGGCACCGGCAACAGGCGGCGTCGTCTTCTTCTTCGTCTTCTGTGTTTCATTCTTCATCCTCTTGCTTCCTTTGGGCCCCTTACGTAATGATGATGGTGGTGGTGGTGCAGCAGCAGCAGCGTTATCTAACCGCGCGAGGTGTCTCCCCGGTAGTAGGCGCCGCGTGTGCGCCGTAGAATTCGGTCAAGAACACCATGACGTTCATGACGATGCCGGCGATATACACCGTACGTTGGATTTAATAATTACGTTTTGTTGAAACAAGTGTGCGAGCAACGCCATTGATAACCATCGCTTGTGACGACGACGACGACTATATCGTCTATATCGTCGTCGTCGTCAGCTCTCTAGGGGGGCAGTGAGCGGTCACCATTTGTCACAGAAGCGAATGGTCGGCGTCGTGGTGTCGGATGGAGCTGCTGCTGGGGGGGGGGGGGGGCCCTGTCCCGTCGACTTCCACACACACGGGGGAAGCGTGGAGTCTCAACCCCTGGCCGAAGCCCCCCCCCCCCCCCCCCCATAGTAAAATAAACAAGCTCGGCGTTCTCGTTCGAGCCAGGGGGCTGGCTGGCTCGGGGGGGGGGGGGGGGGAAACGTCAGACTTTCACTTCTTAAAACTTGCAAACTCGTCGTTTGAACTAAAAAAAAGATATCCGACCCCTAGAACGGGACGGGTTTTGACTCAAGGACGTCGCTACATGTCGCTCGAGTCTTGGGGGACTTTTTGAGGGTCGCTAAATGAGTTGGGGGGTGGGGGGGGGGCACGGGGGGGGGGCACCCAGGGGCACCCACGGGCACCCACGACGCAGTCCCGGGGAGCCTCTACACGCTTGGTGGGGGGTGGGTGGTGGGGGGCACCACGAGCCGGCCATTCGGTGACCCCCGGTCTGTCGGTCTCACGTCTTGCCAATCGACACGCCGAGGCTTTTGGTGGTCAAACAACGCGATTCGTCGTTGTACACCGCAAACCACGTTGCCTCTGACCCATGCCGCTGCTACGTGAGCTGGCCACCGCGGCGGCGGCGTTGTGGTTCGGGATCGTGCACGGAACGTAACACGGCCGCTGTGTCGCGTACAAAGTTTCAGTTTGTTATTGTGAACGTGGGGAAGACGGGTACTGTAGGTTAACATGAACCGTGCCGCCTAGCAAGGGGGTGTTGTGTAATGTCGCCTGCTTGCTTATGTATGTTGTTTCACTGAAAGTCTCCACAATGACGCTCGTCATTGTTTTGTGTTTGCGTATTAGGGGCCCGTCCATAAATGACGTCACGCGATTTTGGAAGATTTTTGACCCCCCCCCCCCCTCTCGTCACAGGACGTCACAAAAAGTCAGACCCCCCCCTCAAATATGACGTCACAAAGCTCAGCCCCCCCCAAAATATATAAAACATGCTTCAAATCGCTTTAAACTATTGTCACTGTAGTGCGTATTTAATGTGGCACTGCACTCTGATGTCGGAAAAAAACATAAAAAAGCCTATTTGATTAAGTAGAACGTGTTGTCTATATTTATTTAAAGTTGCGCATTTTTATGTGACGTCACATTTCTAACCCCCCCCCCCCCCCCCCATCGTCACACATCGTCACAAATGTCTGACCCCCCCCCCCCAGGTGCGTGACATCATTTATGGACGGCCCCTAAGATAATATTGCGTCGAAGCAGGACCCTGTGTATGAAAGAGTGGGGTCCCTTGCCTATAACGTCTGACTCCTGGTGAGACACTGAATGTCGAACCCGGTCCAGTCTTTGCTTGTATTGGGTGTTGTATGAAGGGGACGCAGTGCATTGCTCACCTCTTGTGCATAAACAAGTGTTTTAGACTGCTACGGGGCACTACCTTCTGCGTGTCAGAAGGCAGGGAGGAAAGATCATTTGTGCTCACGTTTATACCTCCATGTCTACGCACCTTCACCAGCCAACCCTGACCAGTGCGGTGAAGTATGGACAAATCATCCCCCACAGTCTCGGGAGTGGCCTTCAGCAGTTTAATAACAAAAGGGTGTGCAAGACCAAATGACGCACCATCATTGTCGTCATTATCAGTGAGTCTCGGGGTGAGGCACTTGTAGATTTCTCAGTGTTCGTGATTGCATTATCTTAACCGCTCACATTTGGAGAATTAAATCCGTCAGGACATCTGCGACGGTATACTTTATTTTTTTATAGAGACTAAAACAGAACATTGCCTCCTAATTCATCACGGAAGACTCCAGAGGTCACCGGTTTGCTCGCCTGTCACGGAACTCGAGACAATGGGCAGATTTATTGGAATCCTCCTGGCTCTTGTGCACCCAGCAATATAAATTGGTGCACCACAGTCGACCCGGCAGGCAGATTGTGTGTCGTGGGTTCAAGTGACGGTAATTCCTACCTCTTCCAACATGTCAGAGTAACTCTCCAGAGCTAGCTCCAGCGGAGGTCTTGTCACGGAGTGTAGTGGTGTAAAATTGCAGGGCTGCACCTTTACCTCGTACAAACCCAATTACAGGCAAACCTGATCTCATCATAAATATCAAGAGGTCCTTTTGCGAACAGTGCAGAGACGACCCGCACCGACACTCCGATCACTCGGAATGCACCCCAGTCTCGTCAGATGTTGGAATTTAAGCAAGATTAAGCGAGGTCAGGGCAGCAAAATCCATTGTTGCACTGTCATTCTATGCTGCCACGTGTATGCTAGCTACCCTTTCCTTCACCAGCCCGCACTGCCCAGTGTGGTGAAAATGTAAAAAAAATGACATGCATGGCTCGCATGCCGTGGGGAGTCCATCATTCAGCGGTGGATTGAAAAGGGCTGTAGATGTACAACACCGAATCCACACATCTTCATCATAGCCATGATGAGCCCACTGCGGGGATGAAGGCCTCCCAAAAATGTCTATAACCGGTGAACTGGTAACTATTTTCATAATCGCTAGTCACGAACCGATAACGATTCCACTGGAATGTTTGAAATGAAAGCACGTGCCGATAGTTCAAGCACCTAGAACTGTGGCAGCCCCAAGTGTAAATAGTGTCTTGGTAAATAAAAGGTCAAGGTGCAGGCCTGCTACTGCAGGAAGGGCTTCCACCAGAGGGAGATCTTGAGGGTGTTTGGTCTCCTCTGTCACACTAACCAGGCATGTTGGTTAGTTGCGTATGCATTTGTACTGTTGGGTGGACAGAAGCAGGGGGGGTGGGAGGTGAGATTTAAGAAACTCTGCCCCATTGTTTCCACTGCCACGCCAGGAGATGCAGTTGAACCGGCGAGTCCAGTGCGCTAACCATTACACAAGGTTAGCTGCCTGCATTTCTCAGTTCAAAAAGTAAACCTGTTATATATATCGGCACACTGGATACTGCTTTTAAGTTTTTATGCCGTTCACGGTTTTAAAAAAAACCTGGGGAATAATCAACCTAGAACATGCGTAAAAGTCAGCTAAGGTCACTCCTGCAAATGCTCTACTGGTCTCTTGAAGTCTTGCTCACTTGTTTAAACAAATTAAACTTGAAATGTGCACATGAGCTGATTTCATCACTGTCCCCGCAGTGGACGTGTTGGTGGACACATCCCATCCGTTGGCGTAATTACTCGTGACCACATACTACAGTGGTAAAATGTCGTGGATACACTACTGTGTATGGTTTTGCAATTGTGCTGTATAGCCCTCGGAGGTGCGTTTTCAGGTTGTACTGTGGGTTATTCGGCCAACATGCCAAACAACACGTGGTATAATCTGAAAATCCGAGAGCAACGGTGTGTGAATAGTTGGATTTGTGAATGGCTGGCACACGTGTAGAGGAGTAGTTTGGGGACGTGACATCATATGCGCTGTGCGGTGCGATGGCGTCATGTCACCTCGGGGTACTTAAGGGGGGCCCCGTGACGAAAGCGGGGTCGTTGTGGGAGCCCGGGATGGAGAGCGGTTGAAGAAACAGTCAGGGGTAGAGCTCAGGAGCGAGAAGCAGGCGGTAGTTGTGGAAGGTGCTGCTCTCCTCGGTCGGTCGGTGTTGGCTGAACCCCCGATCCGACTCGAGAGAGAGCCCAAGAGATAGCCGAGCTCGGGACAGACAGAGCCAAGGGTCCACGTGAAGGACCCGGTGTAGGGCACCTCCCTCTGGTGATAGTTATCACCAACCCTTGTTATTAAACCGGCGCAAGCTCTTACATGAAGACCTACCTCCGCGTCGTCATTAAGCACACAACTGGTGCCAGAAGTGGTTCCGACCGTCACCGCTAAGCACACAACACACGGATAGAAGATGTTTGTCCGTGATATAAAGAAATCGACTCTTAACAATCGGCGATGATATCGAGATCCCATCACTGGCAACACATGGATTGGTTATGAGCAGAACTCGCAAGTTTTATAGATTGGGATTGGTGATACGTGAGATTAGCCAAGCTGGTGGCGTGAGCTTAATCAGTGACTGGAGGAGCGAGTTGGTCGAAGGGTGGAGGAGGATGGGATCGCAGGTTGAGTGCAGATTCTCACAAATTACGGAAGAATTGGCAGAGCCACCGTGAGAGCGTGAGATGCACTCTGATCGTGTGAGACTTGAGACGTCTGTAAAATCCGTGGTTTTCTCTTTATGCGCATGTGAATTTTTTAAGGGAATTTCAGGCAACCAGCCAGCTTAGAGCAGGCTGAGAGCAGGCTGAGAGCAGTCTCCCAACTTCAGCCCTCGTCACCTAACCGCGGTCTCTGCCTTTTTCGTGATTACCAAAATTGTATGTGCATATGCAAATCAAGTGACTGTGCATGGCATGCACCCGATGGTTCATCGTCATGGAATATTTATACCATGCCTCCAATATGGTACACCTCGTGGCATCAGAGCAGAGGGCTATTTGAGATGGTCACTCAGTAAGGAACTGATTGCAGACCATATGTAATGTTCAAAAACAAATATGGTAAAGACAGTATGTGCTCGAGTCTACCCTCGTTTGTCCACTTAATTTGATTTCAAAAGTTGTTTGAAAATAAAGTCTTCAAATTAACCCTAAATTGTTGGTAATCACAGAAAACCTGAACCTTGTGGGTTGAGAAAACTGGCTTAAAGGAATAAAGAAAGCAAGAAACATTTATTCTGTAGTAGCTATACACCTATGTGTACCATGTCCCCAGGCTGTCCTCACCACAACTTTGAATATTTGTAGAAAATTACTTTTAAAGCTAGTATATTGTGTGCCAAAATATCACTTTAGTGACAACAATGCATTGACATTGGGATGAATGAGAGTGA